TCAGCCCAGTGCAGAGAGACTGTACGTCCTGTACTTGATCAAGTACTGCACATACAGTCTCTCTGCACTGGGCTGTGAGCTTTGGAAAATATAAAAGATACCCCCCTCCCAATGGCATACTCCAGGCCGGTTCCGGCCCGGTTCCGACCTAACGGGTCCAGTTAACGAGATGGGTAACCGGTCGGTAGGATTACCGAGCGAACCGTTATCCGTTAACCGTCCCCAGTAATCGGTAACCGATGTCGGTAACCTGGCATGAGGAAAAATGCATTTCTGATTGCAACCAGTTTCTTTGTGACAATGCCCATTGTCACAAGGTTCATGCCCACGTGTCACACCCCGACAAGCTTAGGAGGTTAAGGCAATGTGAATGCCGGGTGACAGGGGTGACAGTCTTGTGCAGGCACATTTGGAGACTAGTTTACACTGAGATTGGGGTGATGTTGGATTAGAATACTTGCAGTTCATGAAATTGAGGAAATGTGTTGCATACCCAACGGCATACTCCAGGCCGGTTCCGGCCCGGTTCCGACCTAACGGGTCCAGTTAACGAGATGGGTAACCGGTCGGTAGGATTACCGGGCGAACCGTTATCCGTTAACCGTCCCAAGTAATCGGTAACCGATGTCGGTAACCTGGCATGAGCAAAAATGCATTTCTGATTGCAACCAGTTTCTTTGTGACAATGCCCATTGTCACAAGGTTCATGCCCACGTGTCACACCCCGACAAGCTTGAGGAGGTTACGGCAATGTGAATGCCGGGTGACAGGGGTGACAGTCTTGTGCAGGCACATTTGGAGACTAGTTTACACTGAGATTGGGGTGATGTTGGATTAGAATACTTGCAGTTCATGAAATTGAGGAAATGTGTTGCATAGGCATATCCAAACGTTTCAGAGGGACGTTGTTTCGCCCGTAACAAACTTGTTACGGGCGAAACAAACTGGATTTCCACAGTCCCACCACTCAAAGAGCTCCCCACACCATCGCAAAGTCCCTTTTTTATTACAGACACATGTAACAAGTTGTCATAGCTTGAGATTGTCGATATATGACTGCTGGATTGTGACCAGGCCATCTCCTTACATGTCTTGCTGCACCAGCATGAGCAGTGATCCCTTCTGTTCAAAATTTTCAGGCAACATCGCAATGAGGCAAAACATTGTGCCGAATCTGCCGTACAAAGAGTGTTCAAAGCTTCACGCTACTAACGGACGAATACATAAGCATTCATTTACTTTGAAAGAATAAAGGAATTCTATAGCTTCATACAAATTCGCCTATCAGCAACTCTCCCTGGTCGTTCAAAAGTTGCTTGAAGATTCTACCATCTCCATACTATGAAGGAGCGCTTCTTCATTTCTTCATTTTATCTGAACCTTAACGT